CGGACCTGGGCTTCCAGCCCACCCTGACGGTGGGGCACGGCGGCTGCTCCTGTGGTCTTTGAAGTGTGCTTTCAGGGTGGGACAGTCAGGAGTGGGCAGTTGACTTCGTTTGTCCACAAGTAGTCTTTTTTTTGATTCCCAGAGTCCTCCAGGAACATCACTGTCCCCCCAAGGGCGCCACACGCTCCCATCGGTAAGTCGTCCTCTGCAGACTGCTTTGTTCCCGTCCCTTCACCCAGGGCTGACGTCCTCCCCTGTCAGGAGCCACGCCTGTGAGCGCGGTTCTGGCGTGTGCAGTCAGGGCTGGTGGGATGGCAGCGAACGGAGGTCGGGTTTGGGCGGGAAGATCAAGGGGGGAGGCTGAGACTTTCCAGAGTCAGAGAAGGGAGTCCCATCTCCCCCGTTCTGTAGACCCCTTCCCTTCTACAGTTAGGTACCCGGGTAGTGTCCGCAGCTGCCGGGGAGGGCGCTGCACCAGGGCGCTGTCACAGTGGGTGCTCAGCAAGAAGGGCAGTTGTCTAGCTTCACCCTTGGTGGGGAGGGCAGGGACCTTCTAGGAAGGAGATCGGCATCTTGGGGTCCCACACCAGGCAGACGACTATAGAAACCCAGGATGTGGCGTGGAGCATCTTGAGCTGAGCTTTAGCACCTCCTCTGTCTCCCTCACTCCTCCAGTTCCTGCCCGCCAGTACTATACCCAGGGCAATCTGGTCCGGATATGTCTTGGCGCTGTGATTCTGGTAGTCCTGGTGGGGCTCCTCGCGGAGGATTGGCACAGCCGGAAGAAACGCCCGCTGCGCAGAGTCAGAGCTGAGCAGAGGCCACTCCCGCCTCTTCCTCAGGCCCGGAAATCCCATGGCTGTGAGGATGGGGGTCGACCAGATGTCTGTAGCCCCAGGGCCTGCCATTAGAACCCCAGACAAGGTTTTATCCAAAGGAAAGATTGTGGGAGTGGACTAGGGAACATGTGTGGAGAGTGGGGGGCATGCAAGCAAGAAGGAAGAGGCTGCGGCTGTGGACGGAGGGCTCTGGGCCTTCTGGTGCCTCTTCAGGGGCTGTTGAGTCAGTGTCTGGCTCTCGTCCAAGGACATGCCATATTTGCGATGGGAGAAGCAAGTGCAAGCTCAAGTTTCCTCACTGATATTTTGCACACTGTGGCTCTCACGGTCCCCTGACCAGATCACCACACTGGCCTCTTTCTCTGTCCCTTCCCATTAGGGGTTCCAGAAAGATCTCTAACACTCTCAGGTCCACGGCTCTGCTCTGTCCTCTGCAAACTCCTCCATGTTCCCCCTCAGTCCTCTGTGCTTGCCGGTGGCTATTCTCAGGCCGAGCCCTCACCCAGGCGCCACAGGCCGATAAATGTCCTTGTGCTCTTGCGATGGGCCTGGTCCTCTCAGGAGGTTGGGCGTGGCATTCCTCTTTACTGTAAGAGTTCACTGTCCGTGGCATCCCTTCATGCTGGAAAAGCGGTCCAATGTCCGAACACTGCTCCAAAGGCCAGCAAGGTAAACCATAGATCCGGAAGCAGATGGGAGATTGCCAGGAGCTGGAGGGTGGCAGAGACTGGGAATGGCGGGTTATCAGCTCCAGGGTTTCACCCCAGGGTGGTATAGACGGAGGTGATGGTTGCACATTGTGAAGGCACTGCAAGCCAGTGGTGGCTCACTTTCAAAAGCTTCATTTTGGGGCCAGAAGGTGGTGTAGTGGTTAAGGTGCTGGACTCCCACATGACTGACTGCGGTTCAAGTCCCAGAGCCAGCAGCCTGACACACCGGGTGTGTGTGTGCATGCCCAATATCCCGGGAGGAGAATGGAGACGGGACTGCGGTGTGGCTCCGCCCCTGGGGGTGGGTCCTCACTTCCTCTCTGTCTTTCTGGCAAGTACAACAAAAATGTCTTTAAAATATTGCTTAATTTTAAGTTATGTAAAGTTTGCTTTAATAAAAATGAAAATAACCCCCTGCTCCCTGACTCCCGCTCGCTACAGCGGGGGGTGCCTGGTGAGCCCGCCCCCAGGAGAGGCCCACAGCCAGCTCGAGCACAGGAGGACACGCCGTCTCTTCATGCTGTGGGAGGTGGCTTGCACGGCAGCCTTAGCGACTTTTGAGACTCTTTGTGTCATGGGGACATTTTGGGGACCAGATGGCAAAGGGCTGAGCAGAGCACGAAGCTATGTTTTTGTAAGTCAAGTCGGACTTGTGGGAAGTTGACCAGAGCGACGGCAGGGGTGTGGCTGCGCTCATCCAAGTCCAAGACGTCGCAGGGTGAGGCGGAGAGGTACCGCCCTGGTGGAGACTGAGCGGCCGTCACGAAGGTGGGGAAGGACCAGCACTGAGCAGAGACCGGGAGGGGACAGAATCGATGCGGTCAGGTGCCTCACTGCCCCCACCCTGGTCCCGGTCTAAGTCCTCCCAAATGAGGGGTCTTTCTCTAAGGTTTTTCACAGAACCCAACACTAACTGCAGCCCCACGCAGGAATG